CCTTTCCTGGAACTCACTTGGTAGCCCAGGATGGCCTTGAACTCACAGAGATCTGCCTGCCTCTGCCTCCCAAGTGCTGGGATTAAAGGCGTGCGCCACCACTGCCCGGCTGATTCTTTCACTTTCAATAGTCTTTAGTTACCTGTAGTTCTTTGTCTATGGTTGAGGTACCATGAGATGTCCCCTCCCACATTAGCATGTCCATTGGTATTGTCTTTCTTTAGGTCTTGTTGAAGTATCATGGGTGTAGTTCACTGTCGTTTCAAGGAGACACAATCTCATAGCCCATGTTCTGGTCTCCTGGCTCTCACAGTCTTTCTGCCCACTCTTCCACAATGTTCCCCAAGCCTCGGGTATGGTACTGTTATAGATGTACCGGTTGGAGATGAGCCTACCAGAATCAGTCGGTCTTTTTGTTTTGACCAGTTGTGGTTTCCTGTAATGGTCTCCATCTGTTGCAAAAAGAAGTCTCTGATGAGGGATGAGAGCTGCACTTCTCTGTGGGTATAAGGACGAGTATTTAGAATACAGTTAGAAATCATGCTGGCCTAGTAAATTGGTAATAGTGGGTTCTCCTCTTAGTTCCATGACCTCACTAGCCTTGGGTAGTTGGATTACTTATATTTTTGACATGGCCTCTATAAAGAGTTTTTTGTCTCATACGCTATAGACGAAACCCACAGCATTGACTGCACAATGGTGCAAGACTGACCAGCAGTGCAGCCTCACCCCCTTCCTCTTCTTCCATTCCACTCCAGGACCTGTAGGTGTTGGGAAAGGAATGCCTAGAACACATAAGAAGTAGCCCATCCTCACAGCCACGTACCACCCTGGCTGGGTTGGCACCAGTGGTTCCCCTAGGAGGGTCTCAGCCAGGGAAGCACCTCTGGCAGGGCAACCAAGTGAGGCTCAGGATGGAAAATTCCAGGTTACATGAACAGAGAGAACTTTCAGCTATATATTCAAACCTGCTTTTTACCATATTCCTCAGTTCTGTTAATGTAACTGAGAACACTAACCACAGCCTTCTAGAATGCTTCTGAGTCCCAAAAACAACAGAGTTTTAGGGAAATGGAACCTCCATCTTTCCTGCTGCTCAGCACCAA